TACGTAGATCTAAATCTTTTTATCAGCCATATTGCATAAATTTAACCTAATTTATTTAATGTCTTCCCTATTGATGGACTTTTTATGTTGCTTCGGTTGTTTTAAACTTTGCAAGCACTGCAATAGATATCCTAGTATATGAATCTTTGTGAAACTGTGTAAGTATTAGGCTGGCTAAACTCCTAGGAATAGAATTGCTCAGTCAAAGAATTTGTGGGATATTATATTTATCATATAATAGATTTTGCCAAATAGCTCTCTGTAAAACTGCTGCATCACAGTATCTGCCTCCAACAGAGTGTGGGAGTGCCCATTTCCCCATAAACCAGTCAACAACATTATCAAATTTCTAAATTTTGGCACTCCTAGATGAAACATGGCAACACATAGCTGTTTCGATCTGCATTTCTTTGAAGTTGAGCTTTTCTTCATATGTGTATCGTCATTGGTATTTCTTTTCTGCAAACAAATCCATTTGCATCTTTGGCATGCTTTCTATTGGCTTACCATTTTATTAATGATTTGTAAGAGTTTTTAGATTATTACAAATAAGCTGTTTGACATCCTATCCTCATGAGTTTGTTTTTAAGTTTACTAAAATTTTAAATGTCTTCATAATCAATTTCTAAATGTTTCCCTCTGATGGGGAACATAAATTGGTCACAGTCGATTGAGTTCTGAAAAGCCATTAGTAAGGGTCTAAGGCACTCTGGGCTTCCTGTTTCACCTCCTAGAGGGGCCTCCCACACACAGGGGCCCCTCAGGCAGGGAACTTCCTGCTGGGGTGTCAGATTTCAACCTAAGAAAGAGGCTGCCTGAAGGGTCTATATTTAGAGTATGACTCCCCAGCAGGGGCAGCTGGATGTCTGGGGACTAAGTTCTGCATACTTTGTCCCTGAGTTCTGGGATTATTCTGAGGGGCTTGTATGGGTGGTGCAGTGAAATTGTAACAGAAGGCAGGGAATGAAAAGGACTCTTTCCCCTGGCGACTGCTTGGGATCCTGTAAACTGCTTTTTGTGAGAGAAAAATGACATGGATTTCAGGAGTATTGCCCACAGATCCATAGTCAGCCACAGACCTTACCCCCATCTCTACTGAAAGATGCTGAGCACCGTATGCCCCCGCTGCTAGGGTTAGGGTTAGGTCCCAGCTGCTATAGGGACATACAGTGCATGAATGGCAGATAGTGGAGATATCTCACCAGTGTCATGATCTAATGAAAATCCACCTGTTAAGCTTCATTTCCATTAGTGGGATAGCACAGTTGGTCCTTTCCTGGTTGTGATGAGACTGATTTGATCACACGCTTATGTAAAATCCCAATAAAACTCCTTGAGTGGAAAACAGGTTAATCTGGGAAGTCACTAGTTTTCAGGCGCTGGGTTCATCAGGAGTGGGGTCTCCATTCCATCACCCAGGAGTCATCTATGAAGAAGTTCTCAGACACCTGACACAAGATCATCAATAAATTCAACCAGAACTTCGAAAAGTTGTAAATCGCTTGTGTAAAATTGCCAAGATTGGTCTTTCCAAAGATGAATTTATAGGTCACATTGAAAACCTATTGGTTTTGTTCAGGAAAATTTTATATTTAAAATGTTAATAATTACCAGCCTGTTTTGAAAGCTGTGAAATAATTTATAGCAATTCGAAAACATTCTTAGTGTGGCACAAAATAACGTCAACAAATGGATGAGTCTTTTGTTATTTTTACAACCTAATTTGTAAATGTCAAACGAAAATGGCTTGACGCCATTTCCCCATTACAAAAACAATGAATGTGACGTTAAAAGGGAAAAAAAAGGAACATAAAAAAGAAAGTTAAACCTCTCCTTGCACTCTCTGCTCCCCTTCCTGGCACCTCTTCCCTAGCCCATTTTGGTACAGCAACGTATCCAATGGGGACGCTAGTCTTATAGCGTAAGAGAGAGAGTCCTCAAACAAGCAGCCGAAAAGGCCGGAGCCAAGGCCTGAGGGTGGATGGGGGACTCAGACCCTCCCTGGTAACAAGAGAAGGGCAAACTCCAACCGCAGGGAGGTGATGCCACTTGTGGGCTCTCAGATTGGAGGGAAAGGAGCTGAGTGACCGGGCCTCGCGCACAGCTGGGTGGAGGGGGAGATCTTGCGCGCGGAGGTGGAGGGGAGGGTCCTGTTGAACTCCCCGCCGGCCCTGGTTGCGGGGGGAATCGGAGGGCGAGCTAGGCGGTGACGCGGCGCCCTCACGTGACCGGGAGCTGCAGAGCGACGCAGCTTTCGGTGCAGTCATCACTCGTGTCTGGGTACCAGCTCCCCGCTGCCCTGCGAACGGCGGGCTGGCATCGGGCCCGGGGGAAGCGGAGCAGGTAAGGGCTCCGTGCGCCGAAGCCAGGGCGGCAGCGGACTGCGGATCCCCGGAGCTGGTCGGGGGGTGGCGGACAAAGCGGGCTCAAGTTCCCAGAGCCTTCGCTCAGATTCTCCCGAGCCCTCCTCCTCCTCCCTACGTCTGTGCTGGGGAGCCGTGAGCTTTGACAGGGCGAATGGTGGGGGAAGTGTCTCAAGAGGGAAATGCAGAGATTGAGATGCCCCATTCTCTCTGAATCTAATCACAGACCACACACGCCTGCTCCGCATCCTGCTCATTTCAGTGGAAGGGACACGCCACGGTGGCGTTTGCAGAGAAAATGGTGGGCCTTAGTGACTGGACGGCAGGGTTGGTGAGGGTGGCGTCTTGCAATGTGGGGAGGGGACGTTGGTTAAGTGGGTTCCTGAATCCAGCGTTGGGATCTGTGTCCTGGGTACTGGTCCAAGCACTCAGTGCCTTTACTATCTCCTATCTGAAGATAGTAATTCGGGGTGGCACTGTTCGCGGCAAGGCGAGGGAAGAAGGAAAGGAGACAACTGCACAGGATCTGCGGAGGTTAGTGTGGGCATGGGCACCCGTTTTGAACAGTTGAAGCGCTCTATGAATATTCTCTGTGACAGGAACTTAGGCGCCTCTATTTGGTTGGGATACAGGGTGGGGCTATAGTGGACTTTTCCTAAACTGCATTTACTTACCAAGCTTGGGCTTTTTAACGTAAAGTGTATGTTGAAGACCAATAAAGACGACAGCAGCTTTTCTAGGGATGCTTTTATTTGTGCCTCAGAAAATACAAATTGTTGTCTCAAAGAACTACTTTGTTTTTTTTTTTGGAGATAGCCTTTGTGGGGCAGGGATGGTGATTTTGCAGAAGCAAAAGCCTCCCTCCACCACACACACACCTTGCCTCTTATGCTGGAGATTCATAGAGATGGGTTTAAAGAGAAGTAGATGGCAGTAGGCTGTGATTCTAGAATATGGGATATGGGGGCCTCTATGTGTCTCCTGGTTTTCCAGTTTTTCAGATTTTCCCACCTGTCTGCACAGGTGAAGGAAAAGATGGACTTTTGGGAGAAGCCCTAGAATCCTACAGGTGGTTTTAGAATAATTCGCCTCTGTCTCTCCCCTTTTTCCTGCCTCCCCTTTCCACCCTGCCCATTTCAGTGCTGGAGAAGCCCTAGGTTTTGCTTGCCAGAGAACAGATCTCTAAATCCAGTAAGGCAGGTACTGGGACCCATGTTTCAGATGCTGGGATGTCACAAGCACTCAACTTTCACCTTCCCTTTTTTCTCTGTTTTTTCCTAGGTCTTCCCATAGGGCGACAGTAGGGCTGTTTACCACTGAAAGCAAGGGAAATTGGGAGACTGGCCTGGGACCGTGGAGGTTGGTGTGAAGATGGGCAGTGCCTGGGGGTAACAAGAGAGGGTGGGCATATGAGGTGGCTGAGACTTGAGACGGTCCTCTCAGTGGAGGGTTCTTCTGCCTCTCCTACACTCTGCCAGATTTCCACAGTGTTGCTACCCCCCTATTGATTTCAGTGCAGGAAATAGTAGAAATACTGGGGTAAGGGTGGGCTGGAGTGTGACGGAGAGAAGACTTGAAAGGATGGATCATATTAGCAAACTGGACATACGCTCTCACAAGGCAGGGACTGGAGTCAGGGATCAAGGTGCTTGTTTGTTCTGTGAAGGACCCGGTCTCTACTATCTGTTTGTTTACTTGTCCACAGGTTGGTCTACAGGTTTGAAAGGCTTGAGATCACTGGAAGCAAAGAAACAAGAAGGAAATTATCCCTGATCAGTATAGACTGGTAAGAGGCTGGGGACTGGCTGGGTAGACATCAAAGGTGGGTTGCTGGAGACCAGTGTCCATCCAGTAGGGCCAGTGTCCAGTCTGGAGGATCCTCAGTCTCTCCTTTTTCCAGTCACTTTTCCCACCATCTCTTCACTTACCCCACACCTTCACCTTTATTGTGGCACAGGGAGTGGGGTAAATTGAAGGGGATAGAGAGGTAGTTTGCTAATAATATATCTGTCACAACAAGAGCAAAATCTTCACTTCCGCCTGTCTATCTGTCTGTCTCTAGGTCCACAGATCTCATGAGTTTATAGATCTACTTTAGGGTATATCTCCAATCAAGAGAAGAAAAGAGGAGGGAACTGCCTTGATCATTACAGGTTGGTATGAGGGTGGGGACCTGTGGGAGTGGTGACCAGAGTAGGTCCAGTAAAAATCGAAGTCTGAGGGCTTCCCAGTCTTTACCATTCATAGTCAGCCTTACCACCATCCTTTCCACTGTTCATTTGGTATAAGGAAATGTGTGCGGAAGTACCTTGGGGGAAATTGTTGGGCACTGGAGAGGAGATAAAATAAAAGGGATGGAGAGAGAATTTGCTAATCATCCTTTTCTTTCACCAAGCACATCATTTTTACAGTTTCCTGTCCTTCTGTATCTATCTGTGTGATGCACAGAATTAGAAGAGAAATTTTAGTGCATTTCCTTCCTCCACTTCTAGGTCCACCTCCAGTGGCAACTGTAGTGGCCTTTGAGTGGCTGAAGACCAACACCCGCACAGGCCTATACACAGACCTACTACCCACTTTTCGCAGGCTGATTGAGCCCCTCTGTACCTTGTTCGTGTCTTCAGCAAGGGTGATTACATGGGTCGTGTTCAGGAAGTGGGCTGGGTGACCGCAGGACTGATGATCTGGGCTGGTGCTTGCTACTGCATTTACAGATTAACCAAGGGAAGAGCCCAGAGTGTGAGGAGACTTGCCAGAAATGGGTCCAGAGTCAAAATGGAGACTGTGGTTGGGATACAGAACCAGACCTTGGCGATGTGTGAAGCCATGGTTGGGACAGAGATTGAGACTAGACCCAAGCCCAAGACTGGAGCAGAAACTGGAGCAGGAGGTGGGGCTGAAGTAGAGACTAATACCACTGCTACAGCCAGAATCAAAGCCAACTCTCAAGCCAAGGCAATGGCTGAGGCAGAGACAGAGACCCAATCTGAGACCAAAACAGTGGCTGGAACAGTGGTCATAACAGAGGCAGTGATTCTGACTGAGGCCAAAGCCAGTGAAGTGGCCATGAAAGAAGCAGTGACCCAAACTGACTCTGAGTCTGGGAGACTAGTCAAGAAAGAGGCAGTGACCCAGACCAAGGCTAAAGCTTGGGCACTTGGTGCTAAGGCAGAGACCAAGAAAGAAGCAATGACCCAGACCAAAGCAGAAACTCGTATATTGGCTGAAAAAGAGACAGAAATGAACAGACTGATGGTGACACAGAATGAGGCCTTGGCAGTAATCAGGGAAGTGGCCAAGATGGGTACCATAAACAAGATTGGAAGTGTGGCTGAGACCAAGTTGAGAGCCCTGGAAGAGACTGTGAGTGTGGCCAAGACTCAGTCTGAGGCCAGGTCTGGTACCTCAGTTGATGCTAAGGGAAATCATAACACCAAGTCCAAGGCAGAATCTGGAGCAGACATGAAGTCCTGTGCACTGTCTCAGGCTGTGGCCAAGATCCAGGTTGATGACATGCTTGGTACTGGGGTTGAGGCCAAGGGGAATTGCAAAACTGCGTCTCAGGCAGGGTCTGTGGCAGATATGAGGGCTTCTGCTCAGCCTCAGATTGTAGCCAAGACTGAGGCTGTGCCTGGGGCAATGGTTGATGCTGGGGTTAATACCAATGCCATGTGTGAGGCAGGGGTTGGGGCAGGTACAAGTGCTTCTACACAATCTCAGACTGTGACCAAGAAACAGGCTGAGACAATGTCTAGTGCCAGGGTTGATGATAGGGGAAATAACAATGTCACATCTAGGGCAATGACTGGAGCTGACACAAGGGCTGCCGCTCAGCCTCAAGCTGTAGCCAGTGCTCACGCTGAGGCTACGTCTGATGCCAGGGGTAAGGGTAGAGGCAATTCCAATGCCGTATCTAAGGTGGGGGTTGGGACAGACACTGAGTCCTATACACAGCCTCAGCCTAAGGCCAATGTCCAGGCTGATGCCTTGCCTGATGACAGGATTAAGGCTCAGGGCAATGCCAACACCAAGTCTAAAGCAGAGGCTGGGACAGACACAAAGGCACAGTCTCAGACTTCCACTAAGAGCCAGGCTGAGGCTCTACCTAGTACCAGAGGTAAAGCTAGGGGCAAAGCCAAAGGCAAGTGTAAGGCAGGGGTCGGAGCAAACATGAAAACCTGTGCACAGCCTCAAGCTGGGGTCAAGGCCCAAGCTGAAATTTTCTCTGATTCCAGGACTGATGGCAGGGGCGATCCTGATACCATTTCTGGGGCAGAGGCTAAGGCAGAACTAAGGGCCTGTGGTCAGCCTCAGGAAATGGCCAGTTCCCAGGACGAGGCCTTGCCTGGTGCCAAGAAGAAGGTCCAGGACAATCCCAATGCTGTGTCTAAGTCAGGGGCTGGGCCACATGCAAAGAGCTCTGCACAGCCCCAGGCTATGGCCAATACCCAGGGGGAAGCCTTGCCTGGTGTCAAGAATAAAGTCCGGGGCAATCCCAATACTGTGTCTAAGGCAGGTACTGGGCCAGATACAAAGGGCTCTGCCCAGCCTGAAACAGATACAACAAGCTCTGCTCAGCCCCAGGCTGTGGCCAATTCTCAGGGTGAGGCCTTGTGTGGTACTAAGAATAAGATCTGGGGCAATCCTAATGCTGTGTCTAAAGCAGGGACTGGACCAGATACAAAGAACTCTGCCCAGCCCCAAGCTGTGGCCAATTCCCAAGGTGAGACTTTGCCTGGTGTCAAGATTAAAGTCAGGGGCAATCTCAACGCTGTGTCTAAGGCGGGGACTGGGCCAGATACAAAGGGCTCTGCCCAGCCTCAAACAGATACAACAGGCTCTGCTCAGCCCCAGGCTGTGGCCAATTCCTGGGGTGAAGCCTTGCCTGCTACTAAGAATAAGGTCCGGGGCAATCCCAATGCTGTGTCTAAAGCAGGGGCTGGGCCAGATACAATGTGTTCTGCCCAGCCTCAAACAGATACAGCAAACACTGTCCAGCCCCAATCGGTGGCCAATTCTCAGGGTGAGGTCTTGCCTGGTGCCAAGAATAAGGTCAGGGGTAATCCCAATGATGTGTCTAAGGTAGGGTCTGGGCCAGATACAGTGGGCTCTGTTCAGCCCCAAGCTGAGTCTAATTCCCAAGGTGAAGCCTTACCTGGTGCCAGAAATAAGGTACGGGGCAATCCCAATGCTGTGTCTAAGGTAGGGTCTGGGCCAGATACAAAGGGCTCTGCCCAGCCTCAGGCTGCAGCCAATTCCCAGGGTGAGACCTCATATGGTACTAAGAATAGGGTCCGGGGCAATCCCAGTGCTATGCCTAAGGCAGGGGCTAGGCCAGATACAGCAGACTCTGCCCAGCCTCAGACAGATACAACAGGCTCTACTCAGCCCCAGGCTGTGGCCAGTTCCCAGGGCGACGCCTTGCTTGGTGCCAGGAGTAAGGTCAAGGGCAATCCCAATGCTGTGTCTAAAGCAGGCACTGGACCAGGTACAACAGGCTCTGCCCCACCCCAGGCTGTGACCAATTCCCAGGGTGAGGCCTTGCTTGGTGCCAGGAGTAAGGTTAGGGGCAATCATGTTGCTGAGTCTAAGGTAGAGGCTGGAGCATGTACGATGGGCTCTGACCAGTGTCAGTCTGTAGCCCATTCCCAGAGTAAGACCTCGTCTGGGGCAAAGGACAAGGCTATGCGTAAGTCTGAGGCAGAAGCCACAGGAGATGCCTCTGTAAAGCCTAAGGCTAAGGCCACGCCCACTTCTGAGAGTGAGGGTGGGTCAGGCACTCAGGCCTGCAAAAAGTCTCAGCCTAAGGTCCATGACTACTACTGGAATGGGATTGGTGTTGAGGACTGGATTGCTTCTGAGCGGTGGATCAAATTTAGGTTTCAGGCTAGGGATGGATACTGGGAGAATAGCATGTCCTGGGCTGATGATGAGAATGAAGCCAATGTTGAATCCTGGAGTGCAGCTAGGGGTGAGAATGAGGTTGGTATTCAATCCTGGGCTGGAGCTGGGGACCAGGCCAGTGGAGGGCTCTGGGCTGGGAGTCATGCCAGTGAACAGTCCTGGGCTGCAGGCCAGGCCAGTGGGGGTTACTGGTTAGAGGCTGGGAACAAGGCTGTTGGAGGGTCCTGGACTGTGGCTGAGAACCAGGCCAGTGGGGCTTCTTGGGCTGGCACTGGCAACCAGGCTGTTGTGGTGCCCTGGACTGGAGCTCAGGCCAGTGAGAGTTCCTGGGCTGGGGGCCAGGCCAGTGGGGTATCCTGGACTGGGGGAGAGACCATTGGAGTGTCCTGGACTGTGGTTGAGAATCAGGCCAATGGAGCATCCTGGGCTGGGGCTGAGGCACAGGCCAGTGGAAGATCCCAGGATGGGGCTGGGATTCAGGCTAATGGAGGGTCCTGGGCTCAGGCTACAGCTGGGAATGTGGTTAACATTGGGTACTGGGCTGTGGCTGTGGACCAGGCTACTGGAGGGTCCTGGATTCTGACTAGTGATCTGTCTGGCGGTGCATCCTGGGTTGGGACTAGTGATTTGTCTGGTGGTGGATCCAAGCCTAGACTTGAGGATCAGACCAATGAAAATGTGTCCTGGGCTGGAGCTGGGCTGCGGCCTGAAAACCAGTCCAGTGGAAGGGCCTGGGCTGACACTGAGGACCAAGCCAGTGGAGGCTCTGGGCTAGGGCTTGTGGATGAGTCCAGTGGTGGGTCCTGGGTTATGGCTGGAGAACAGCCCAATAGAGGGTCTAGGCCAGGGCTTGCAGACCAGTCTGGTGTTGGGTCCTGGACTGGCACTGGGAACCAGGCCAGTGAAGGATTCTTGGTGGGGGTCGTGGATCAGGCCAGTGGGGGTTCTTGGACTGGGACTGGTGATCAGCCTGGTGGTGGGTCCAAGCCTGGATTTAAGGATCAGGTCAGTGAAGAAGAGTCTTTGGCTGGGGCTGGTAGCCAGGCTGGTGGAGGGACTAGGTCGGGGCCTGAGGACCAGTCCAGTAGAGGGTCTTGGGCTGACTCTGGGGACCAAGCCAGTGGAGGTTTCTTGGTTGGGGCTGTGGACCAGGCCAATGAAGTCTCCTGGGTTGGACCTGGGCATCAGGCTGGTGGTGAGACAAAGCCTAGATATGAGGATCAGGCCAAATCTGGAAGAGTGTCTTGGGCTGACAGTGGGGGCCAGGCTAGTGGAGGCCAGGCTAGTGGAGGGTCTACACTGGGGCCCAGGGACCAGTCCGTTGGAGATTCCTGGGCTGGCATTGGGGACCAGGCCAGTGGAGGATCCAGGCCAGTGCTCAAGGATCAGTTCACTGGATGGTTCTATGCTTGCAGTGGGAGTCAGGCCAATACAGGAGGGTCCTGGGGTGGGGCTAGTGGCCAGGCCATTGGAGGGCCTGGGCTCGGGCCCATGAACCAGTCCAGTGGTGGGTCCTGGGCTGATACTGGGAGTCAGGTCAGTGGAGAGTCTTGGGCTGGGGCTGGGGATCAGGCTGGTAGCTGTTCCAAACCTGGATTTGAGGATCAGGCCAGTGGAGGAGCGTTCTGGTCTGGTGCTCAGGACCAGGCCATTGGAGGGTCTAGCCCAGGGCTTGCAGACCAGCCCAGTGGTGGGTCCTGGGTTGGTACTGGGAGTCAGGCCAGTGGAAGGTCCTGGATTGTGGCTGGGGATCAAGCTGGTAGCTGTTCCAAACCTGGGTTTGAGGATCAGGCTAGTGGAGGAGGCTCCTGGGCTGGCACTGGGGATCAGACTTGTGGAAAATTCTGGGCTGGGTCTAAGCCTGGGAATGAGGCCAGTAGAGGGTCTAGCCTAGGGCCTGAAGAGCAGAAAAGTGGAGGTGCCTGGGCTAGGCCTGGAAACCAGACCAGTAGAAGGTCTCAGGTGAGTGCTGGGACAGAGGCCAATGAAGGATCCTGGTTTGGGGCTGGGAGTGAGGCTAGTACAGGGTCTTGGTTCTGGAGAGGGGAAGAAGCTGGTATTGTGTCTAGCCCTGGAGATAAAAATGAGGCCAGTATTGAATCCAGCTCAGTGGTTAGGGAAGAGGCTATCACTAGTTCTGGATTTGGGGCTGAGAACAAAAACAGTATTGGGTCCTGGATCAGATCTGATGAGGCTGCCTGTATGGATTCCTGTGTGGGGGCTGAGGCTGGGGCTGGGGTTGGGGCCGAGGTCAGGCAGGAGTCTTGGCTCTGGGATGGAGATACAGCCACTACAGGGTCTAGGCTTGGGGTTGGGGAAGAGGCTGGCATGGGGTCCTTGACTTTGGCTGGGGATGTAGATGAGGATGAGCTAAGTAGAGCATCTAGCCCTGATATTGAGGAGATAAGTTTAAGGTCCTTGTTTTGGGCTGAGAGTGAGAACAGTAATGCATTCAGATCTAAGCGTGAGAAAGATGTCAATTTTGAGCGTAGGGCTGGAGATAAGGCCAGCACCAAGGATAAGCTTGAAGCTGCTGGTGGAGTCGATGTAAAGTCTTGTTTCTGGGATAGAAATGAAAACAGAAGTGAGGACAAATCTGCACCTAAGACTAAAGCCAAAAAGTCAGCTGAGTCAAGAGTCACATATCCATCTATGGTCCCTGGGGCAGGAATGGGGTCATGGGCGGGAGCCATGATCTGGACAGAAATGAAATTTCCATACCAAAATGAATCCTGCTTCCCACCTGAAGATGAGCTCAGAAAGCAGATCAGGTCTGGGGAGAAAACTCAGCCTTGGGCCTGCCGCTGTAGACGTGAAACTAATATGGATCCACGAGAGCTTGAAAAACTCATTTGCATGATTGAGATGACTGAAGATCCTTCTATTCATGAAATAGCCAATAATGCTCTGTATAACAGCCGTGATTACCCATTCTCCCATGAAGTCATTCGTAATGCAGGTAGAATCTCAATTATTGAAGGCTTGCTCAATAATCCCTATCCCAGTGTTAGGCAGAAGGCTTTAAATGCACTGAATAACATCTCGGTGGCTGCTGAAAATCACAGGAAGGTTAAAACATACTTAAACCAAGTATGTGAAGACACCATCACCTATCCCTTGAATTCAAATGTGCAGCTGGCTGGATTGAGATTGATAAAGCACCTGACTATTATTAGTGAATATCAGCATATGGTTACAAATTACATTTCAGAATTTCTTCGTTTGTTAACTGTGGGAAGTGGAGAAACTAAAGACCATATTTTGGGAATGCTTTTAAATTTCTCTAAAAATCCATCTATGACAAAAGACTTGCTCATTGCCAATGCACCAGCATCACTGATTAATATCTTTAGCAAGAAAGAAACAAAGGAAAATATTCTTAATGCTCTTTCACTATTTGAAAATATAAATTACCATTTTAAAAGAAGAGCAAAAGTATTTACCCAGGACAAATTCAGTAAAAATTCCCTTTATTTCATATTCCAACGACCTAAAGCATGTGCCAAGAAACTTCGAGTCTTAGCAGCAGAATACAATGACACTGAGGTGAAAGAAAGAGTTGAGCTATTATTAAGTAAACTCTGATTAGTTGTAATTTTCCAAACAAATTTGAGTAATATTTTGGTTTTGCAGCCTGGAAGTAATGCACATTGTAAATTGCACTATAATTTCTAAAGTGATGTTGCTTATGATGGTCGTTAGCTGGACCATTTTATGAACACCAAATGAATTCAATTTTGTACTGAAAATACATGTGTTGATTTTAACCTTGTCTGGATTGAGATATTTTTGGTATCCTTCATGAGCAGAAACTGAACTGATTCTTCATAAGTAAGGTAATCTTTGGTCCTTTGTGTGGACTTATGTTTATACATTTGAGACTTTATTTTTATGTCATCAATAAAGTTGTGTGTTTTAAGCAGAAAAAAAAGACACGTCTTTGTCCTTGAATCTGTGATCTATTTGGAAAGGCAAGATGTATGGAAACAAAAAGATACTAACAAAACCCAAGAGCCTATGATCATAGCCAGCTGTTTCCTATTAGTGCTTAAAGGCAGAAGAAACTTCTGCATGCAACAGTGTTCAGGGAAAGTTTTGCAGAGGAGGGGGCACTTAAGTAAGCTGGGCATGAAAGGCAGGATAAAAACAGGGCAGAAGGGCATTGGAGGAGGGAGGATTGACAGGAAGAAAGGCATGGAGATGGGAATTTTGCTCCACAGAGGAGACTGGCCTGCCTGGAGTACAAAGTGTGGGGAGGGGAGTGATGGAAAATACAGTCCAGCAGTTGGGTGAGTCCCATTCATGGAGGATCCCTGATTTCTAAACTGAGGTGTCTGTATATTCTACCCACCTCTGGGAGACACGAAAGCCTTTTGTGACCAGAGGAGTGACGAGATGAAAGGAACATTATGTGACTGACTTGTGTGCAGAATGGGTCAGAGTTGGGGTGGGGACAGGATTGGCCACTGGAGATTGGAACACCACTTAGGAAGTTACCACCATAGTTCAGGCATAGTTGCTAAAAGCATGAAATTTCACTGGTGGCAATGGAAGTGGCAAGGGGGAGGAAGGATGTGAGAGTTGCTTTGAATGAAGAAGTGCTGGAACATATCCTGGGGACATACAGAGAGGGACAATTTTATTGTAGGGTCCTGAGGGCATTTGATAGGAAAATATCCTCTTTCTTGTCCAACTCTGGTGTCTATGGGAGTGAATATGTTAGTGATTATTTTGGAATTATGAAAAAATATAATAGAAGAAAGAATAATTTTTAGTGCTTCTATCAGATTTCTTTTACAAGATTGGTTGGGGCAGGGTCTTTATGGAACCATTGAGAGGGCTGTTGGCATCCATACTGGAGAAGATCCACCTCTCTTCCAACCCAGAGTATGGTGAAGGTGTGGGTGGAGGGACAAACTGTACTGGTGGGAGCATACTTGGTACAAGATCCATTTGGATACATGTTTTAGAAGCTTTCAAGATGTGCACGCTCTTTGACCCAGAAATTCCTCTTGTAGAAATTTATCATTAGGAGATAATCAAATAATCAGCTTGTACAAGGCTGTGCATCTGCACCTTTTTGAAGAGTGAAAAATTGTGAATGACCCAAGTGTCTTGAAATAGGCACTTGGCTAAGAAATTAAGGTATGTCTACACATTGAGACATTATGCAGCTCTTGAAAATGTTGATGGGCAACTACACTTATTTACATGGGGAAAATTCAGCACATAATCTTAAATGGGGAAAATAGGCTGCAAAAGCACATGCTATACTTTTTATGAAGAAAGAACATATATTTAAATTATCTCTATGTATAAACTTTGGTGTGTATACTCTTGAGAATGTGGATAGTTCCCTGAGAGTGTAAGATTAATGGGTAGTTTTACCTGTTTTTTACTCATCTGTATTTTCTGATATTTATATAATAAACCAGGACTTTTTGCATAATTTACTAAAAGGAAACAGATGAATTCAGGCTAAGCAGGCCTGTTAATAGCATTTCAGGGCACTAGAGCAAAAGTATAAATGGAGGTTCACATATTTATGTCTGAATATTTGGAAGGTATAAATAAAATTTTAAAATAAATATCACTTAAATAAAACCATAAATATAAGTATAAATGTTTGAAATTTTAAATTTCATTAATCATTTTGAAAGTAAAGCTGTTCTCAATTCTAGCATTTGATGGTCACCAACTTTCCAGTGGAAAAAATGATGTCATACTTGTGGTGAATTCTGCAATCTGCTGCCCTAATCCTCCTTCATGAATAAAGAGTTTATTATTTCAGTTGCTAGGAGTGCTGCCAGCAGACAGCCCTCAGCTGTCAGCCCTCATCGGGAATTGCCTCAGCTAGAAAGCCACCTCCCCCAAGGTCATACCTCCTTTCTGGGGTACTTCACATTCAATGACTGATCTACATGGACTTCTTGCCCCAAATGGGACAGCTTAATTTCTCCCTCTGTCCAATCCTGCTTCCTTCTTTTCCTTTTCACAGGTTTTAATCCTAAGAGCATTCCCTAATAAAAGCCCTTCATGCTGAACCCTGTCTCTGAGTCTGCCCTCCAGGAAGCCATCCTACAACAGTTGGTACAAGAAGAGGTTCGGAAAAGCATACACTGTGATGAAATTTAGGAGATGGATCATCTGCTGCCCAGCTGGCAATGAGGACTCCATCATTTGTGGTAGGTGGAGTAGATAGACATGTGGAATAGGTAGAAGAGGAGTTAGAGCTTTCACTGGAGGTGAACTAGAATGGCATTCATGGAAGGGAATACATTAACTAGTGCCATGTGGTAGACATTTGAGAAATATGTGAGGTATATTAAATATAAGGAAGTCCAGAAAATTGGGTGGCTATTGCTCAGCTTGATGGACCTCTAGGAAAAGATAATGAAAAGCTGAATTAAATTAGTCAACAATTTAAGCTATGTGTGAAAGCCAGAGGGTTTCATTCACAGCATATAAAGAGGCCCTCATCTTTTTCAGGTAGAGACTAGAGAAATCTGAGGACCAAGCCCAGGACTTATTGAAACAAGCTTCAAAGAAAGTTAAAATCTAAACCAAGACAAGTCTGCTATGCCAAGACCAGGGCCCTGGTTAGGAAGGAATGTGACCCTGACACATGGAATAAGGACATCTGGATTGATGTCCCTAAAAGTCTTATATCCTCAGATTTCCCTGAGCTCCTTGAGCGTTCAGAAGTGTCCCACTCCTTCCTATTAAGCGTTAGTGCTTCACCTTGCTTGAACATGCAGAGCCCTTTCCCTTGTAAGATAATGTGTGTTTCCCACAGAATCTGCCCCCACCTCCCATCCTGGCCACTGGGCCTATGTCTAGGGTTAAGTCACATAACTTCATTGGTGTTGTTCTGGGCCTAATAAGGAAGGAAAGGGAATATCTCAAGAAGGAGCTGCAGGACCTAGACAGCATGTTCTAGCAGGTGCTGAGGGAGTAAGCATGGGACTGAATTCTGAGGGCCTTGATCAGGGGAGCTAGAATATAAAATTGAATAAGGGAGAATTAATTGATTAGAAAGTTCTCTACTGAGATACAGGATTTAACATCCTGGAAAAGATCCCAGGAGATCAATGTGAACTCACTATTAGAATGGCTCCTCAAAGAATGGAAAAAAACCAATGGCCCACATTGAGGTATAAAGGCTAGAGTTGCCATTGCAGATGGTGGGAGAAGGGATTAAAGGCTCAGGGAAGTGGGAATAGAATAAATATATTATAAAGCCAGAAAGCCCTCCAGAGGACTATGTTATGGAGGAGGACCCAAAGGGCACACCATTTGCTAAAGCTATAAGGAATGCACGGGTTAAAGGGTTACCAGCATCACTGAGAAGTTCAGTGGTGGCTTGCCTCTGCAGACCAGGGCTCAGAGTAGGGGAGGGTATTATAGGATGAAGATCACTGATAGAAATGGTGATGCCACTGAAACAATAGAGACAGGATAACTGTGCTCAATTGTCAGAAGTCAGGTAGATGCAAATTCCATAATGCACCACAGGGTCAGAGTAATAGGCCGGGAGGCCTGATCTGCAGAGAGCTTTGGAGAGGGTTAATAGAACACAGTGCTATTCCTGGTAGATAGATGGTTAAGAGGTAGTTAATAGAATGTGGGTGGTCAATATAACACATTGTCCTAGGGAAAATAGGCATCCAACAATTTGTATTCAATCTGTACAGTCAAAAAAAAATCAAAGATACTCAGAAGTCTGAGGGAAGGTGCCTCAATAAGTCACATTCTCCTGCTTAGCTTTGGCCTTAAGTCAGTTTTTGATCCAGAGAGCACTGTTTGAAAGAGTGGGGTACCCAGGACTGATTCCTCCAGTCCTTCCATTTACGAAGGTAACTGTGTGCTGGGGAAAGAGGAATACCCAAACATTTTGAGGGCTGATGGACCCTGGTTGTGAGTTGCTATTGATACCCAGAGACCTAACGCATCATCTTGCCTCACCCCTGTTAGAATAGCGGCAGATGGAAACCAGAAATTATATAAGCTCCTAGTCTATGTTGGGTTTACAGTGGCTCCACTGGGTCTACAGACTCACTCAATGGTTATTTTTCTGGTGTTTGAATATATAATTGGAATAGACATTATGATAGTTGGTACAAGCCCCATATTGGTTCCTTGGCATGTGGAGTCAGAGCTATTTGTAGATGAGGCCAAGTGGAAGCTTTGAAATTGCTGTCCTCTTCCTTGGCAAAGATGGTAAATGAAAACATATAGATAGCATCTTGGAGAGGATGGCTGAAGTTAGTGCCACCTAAAGACCTAAAGAATGCTGGGATGTGGTCCCCATCATATCTCCATTTAATGCATCAGTTTGGACCCCTGAAAAGTGTGGGCAGAGTCTGGTAGATGACAGTAGACTACTGTAAACTCGACCAAGTAGTGGCACAAGGGCAGTTGCCATGTCAGATAGGATATCTTTGCTAGAACAGGATGACATGGCCTTAGGTACCTAGTACAGTAATCAGCTACTGATTTGGAAAATATTTTTTTCCTATCCCTATCAGAATGGAACATCATAAAAGTTCACATTCACATAGAATGACAACAGTATACATTTATAG